TCGGTGTTCACTTCGGGATTCGAACCTAATATCGTAAGCTTCATATGCTATCGCGTTTTCCAATAAGCTATTTAGTCTAGTTAGCCACTGACTTGTGCATCAGATATGATATTTAATTCATTTTGTGACAGTTTACATAGGATGCCCATATACCAACTAGGACAGATCAAAGTTCATTCAAAATATGAATCTTGGGATAATCGTGAATTTAAAGGTTTATTGTTGGTTTTGAAAAAGAAGCAGACATCTTATATGCAAAATTTGGGTTAGGGACGAATAAAAACTTTGTAAAAACACTGTATAAAAGATGTCTTAACAGCAGTGTGATTAGGGATTTATATAATAACCAGGTCGTTCTAAAACTTTCATAAGATATTATAGGACATTCTTAATTGACGATGACTCTTTGGTTAATATGTGTTTGAGTAACAAATAGTTCAGTGTTATTTACCGTGCAAGTATCCATACCTTGGAAGCATTACTGACAACTTCCAAGTTTCAGGCAATGCACATAATTTTTGTAGGTCATTTCAAGGTTCTAAACTATCACCTTCATTTCTTATCACTTTCTATATCTTGACATTACCAGCATCTGCCGTAAACGATAATGATGATTTGCATACATGAAGAATAACACTTGTCCTAAAACGTACTTGAGCTTCATTGAAATCCTGAATTAACCCATATTTGATCACAATTGAAGACCTGGAAGCATTGTTTCGTTCTAGTATAATATTTCCCAAAATGTGCTTCCACGACCAAATGTCTGCCTCACACTCAACGCGCTTGATATCCACTGATCTCGAGACCGAAGATCCTAAACTCTGCTCCTGCTTGAAAGGTGTTAGATGCACATTAACGACAAGTTCCATATTAGGACGAAACGGCCATCCATTGGTTCTAGAGTTAGTTAATGATTTCAACAATATTTTAAACTATGTAAACAATTTATTTACTCAAAACAACTAAACAGAAGTAACTTTTGGAACTAAGCTAGTAAATTAAATCTAGAATAAACCTGACCGTCATCGGATATTTATAGCTTGTCTTTGTGACAGATATTTTAAGTCTTTTTCCATCTCAATTCCGTGAAATTTTATAAATTTTTGTAAACAGTTCAATTCTTCAATCTGCAAAAATAAAAATAGTAGGAACCAGTTCATAAATTTTCATAACTGTCAAGTATACTACTTACAAAAAGCAAGTATGTACAATGAGCTGTAACAAATTTATCGAGCAGATCAACAGTGGGGATTAAAAAACAAACTTCATGCAAAATGAACCCAGTACAAACACATCACAAAACCAATATGTTACTTTCAATAAGGTTACAAAAGTATAAGAAAGCAGAAATGTATAATCTCAACATAAAAAAAATCTAATTTACTTGATTAGCATCAAAACTATGAACAACTGACAAATATTATCACTATGACAGTGGGTAATCTAACTCATACCAGTTTTAAGCAAACATGAAACTTTTTTCATGATACAGTTGCAAAGATTGTTAAGGTTCACTGAAATCATGAATCGTTCATTGCTATACCATGATTGCAAACCTTAAAGGACTGGACAGCCGCTTCATTCTATTATAGGACTATTCATCAGTGGTAGTGCTTATCAACGACTCCTATTCACGGGAATCGAACTCAGGAAATTCGGTCTCGCACACGAACGCCTAACCTCTAGAACACTGAGCTAACATCCAGCGATGTTAATATCTAACTTTAATCAATCCAAGATATTGCATAACCTCACACATTCTTCGGTAGGTAACTGCTTACACCCGACAAGGGGTCGTGGATGCGCAGAGCCACTGACGAGTCCCATGATAGGATAAAACGACTGTCCAATGCTTCCAGGTTTTCATCAGTGGTCTGACAATGTCCGAATGGTCAGTTCAATGGAACTTTGTATAGAAATCCAACTTTTTAGACGGTTTTTAAGCGAAACCATTATATTAAGGAATAATTTGTAATGATACAAAAAGACATTACATACATCGATCGTACATCAGTAGAAAGTCCAGTTGAAAATAGGTGATGGTTCCCGACTGATTCCTTGGATTGTTGTAAAATATGTGAAAAATGTATTTTCTAAACAATTTTCGAACCCGGATATATATATATATATATATAATATCGCTGTCGATATCATTAATAAATGTTATGCAATTGCCTTTCTATTTTTTTTAATAAACCGTTTCATCTGCGTAATGACTATAAATACTATTTTATTGCTTGAGTAATTATTCTTTGCTGATTTTGATCATGATTTTTTCAATGAGGAAACTCCAAGGATTTCACCCAGGGGATATGTTAGAGCTATTTGAAATGTATAATTTCATTACCCATTGAAAGAATCGACGCTAATTGGAACTACATTGAGGACGCAGCCAACCCTAATGCAACACTTAAACTTATACGAAGACAACCACCAAATACCTGGAACCGTACAAAAAGAACAAAAATCAAGCGCAAATAAACCAGTTGGTTCATACAAGCTCTTGAAAAATATTTTGGATATTGGGAGGAGGACTACGACCTTAGTTCCTACTTAGCATGGAGCAACAGATGCAATGCCAAAGTTCAAAGTGATCAACCAACTGATAAATTAAATTGTCAGTTTATATAACGAATTCTGAAATCCTCTTATTGGCATTAGAATTTTCTACTAATTATTCTCCTCCACATTGCAACTAACCGATCTATAACCTGGTAACGTGATAGCTTCTGATATACAGAAACCCTGCTGCCCTGAATCAAATCACGGGACAGATAAATTCACAAACAACTGTCAAATTAGAACAACACATATGAGCGAACAATTTTGTTTTCGATTAGATCGTCATCAGGCTTTACTCTAATATACATATAAATATTCATGTATATTAAAATAAAGCCTGATGACGATCTAATCGAAAACAATATTGTTCGCTTATATGTGTTGTTCTAATTTTCACAATGGGAATGGTGAGATTGATTGATGGTCAGTAGTGCTATATCTCTCTAGTCTTGAAGTGCTGATCTAACTCTAGTTGTAACGAGTTCAATCGACATTACATGCATTATGTACGACAGGTAGCTGGTGGTGAACACTGGTATTAGCAACAAAACAAGAAAATATTAGTTATATATAACATGATTCCAAAAAAATCTGTGAAAAAACATGTGATTAATGTAATCATTACTGTTATGAATCATTTATACAAACCTCAAGTATTTGGATGATGTTGTTTGTCACTGAAATCAAGATCTACTGCAAGCTAATTCCCAAGCCATGCAATCCTTCCTTATTTAGCTGGCATTCAATGTCCATAGTAATGACGTAGTCCTGTGACAACTTTCCTTTACATTCTGTAACAAAGTGGTAGGAACATTTTTCACTGATAGGATCTATTCTGGTTTCACTTTTTTCGAGTAAATGGGCTTCCTCGATCCAAATCATCCTTGGCTCTGAAACTACCTAGGTAACAGGTACAAAAGCCTTTGACACAGTGCCCCACGCACGCCTAATCGAAAAGGTTGTGGAAATGGGCTTCACCGACCCACTCCTATCTTGGCTCAGAAACTACCTTGAGAATAGAAAGTTTCGCACCAAGGTAAACAGAGTGCACGCGAGTTGGCGAGTATCCACATCGGGAGTTTCACAGGGGACCACCCTAGGCCCACTCCTCTTCCCGATATTTATTAACGACCTGCTATGCTCAGTTACCTCACCGGCATTGATCTACGCAGACGATGCGAAGATCTGGAGGTCCATTAGAAGCGAAGAGGATTCGACTGAGCTTCAAAATGACCGTACATCTATTGAGAAGTGGACAGTAAAAAACGGTTCAAAACTCAGCCAACCGAAGTGCCACGTCATGCATCTCCTGCATCACATGACGCAAACGATCTATACCCTCAATGGAAATCCGCTTTCTAATGTCCCAGTGCGCGATCTTGTTTTAGTAACCACAGAAAGCCTCCACACCAGTCCAAACTATGTAGGGCATGCAGTCAAGGCAAATGCGACTCTTCACTTTATGCGAAGACAGCTTGGTGCTGTCACCCCGAAATTATTTTACACGAACGTGCGCACACTCTTGGAAGTTCACAACGTCATCGCACCCCCTCTGCTTAAAAGAAACATAAATCTCTTGGATCGAGTGCAGAGACGAGCAACCAAATGGGTGATAGGGTTGAAAAATAAACCCTACGACGATAAACTCCAGCTCTTGGGATTATTTCCACTGAGCTACAGGAAAATAAAAGGTGATCTGAATGTGGTGTACACCATATTAAACACGCCAAACCATCCCAATGTGAGCATCTTACCGATGCATCGCCACCACTCCCCTCGAGGCAATCCTCGAAAGATTGCACATCAAAGAGCACACTTTTTCTCACTGCGAGTCGTCGCAACTTGGAATGCTCTCCCAGCCGAAGTAGTTACAGCCCCCTCAGTGGACTGCTTTAAGAAGAGACTTGATAATCATGTACTCACATACGGACTATCATGTCCCTCTTGAACAAGCTGCTCATGATGCATATCTTGAGACCTGCTAGTTGTTACCATTGCCATCTCCTCAGATCTTTCAATTAGTCTATCTCGGCTATTATCTGTGTTTCCTTTCCCTTGCTTACACTTCGGTCCTCTCTCACAATCTTCACTACCAATTAACAAACTAAATTCATCTATATATTACTCAGTTCTGAAATTTTATTTATATTAGCATTTTCATTTATCCTTGTTACCCTTATTACTCTCCACATTGCAACTAACTGATTTCCGGTTTGGTAATGTGACGGCTGCAAGTATCCAGAAACCCTACTTCCCTGAAACAAACGTTTGCAGTCAAGTCCCGAGACATACAAACTCACAACCAACTGCCAACTGACTAGAATTAGACAGTCGAGTGGCTAGACCTCCATTCATTGAACAATACAGAACACCTGGAGCCGTACTGAAAGAACAAGAATCGAGCGCGAAGAAATCAAATTGGTTTACACTAGCTCGTGAAAAAGATATTGGATATTGGACATACTTAAAGACCTTGGGCCGTATTTCAAAGTCGCATATATGGTTAACTGAGTCAATTTAAGAAATTAGTGTTTAGACCACTCTTGATGTCTGGTATAGAGGCTTTAGAAGAAATAAAAAAGTTGGTTGAAGATGACTCAAAATATTTTGCTGTAATAAAGGTAGGTAACTGCATTTTTCATAAGTAAATCACTCATTGTAGGACAAAACTACACTACAAGGACTTGTTCTACTACTTTCAAACAAAAATAACGTAGTTATTTCACTGGTGCTGCAAGTAAGTTCCACACCTCAAACCTTCAATTATAGATATTTAAAATTGTATCTGACCGACCAGGTGGCAATGATGTGCTGCGATCGTTATTGGGATTAAGTGAACAGCTTAACGAACTGATAAAAGCCACTGTTCCTTATGATGGTGAAGCTGCTCATTCCTTTTCTGCTAACGCTGAGGAACTCCTATCTTTGATTAACTGCCCTAATAAACATGACCAACCCAACCCCATTAAAACCAATCCAGAAAAATCACGCCCCATGTCCAGACCAAAAAATGTAGTTTTACAGCTCAGAGGAATAAAAAGTGAGGTAAATATTCACGACTAACCGGTTTTTGGATTTCTACGCTAATACTCTATAAATTACTGTTATCGTCCAGATATGTTCATTCTGACAGTCCCACAACATTGGCATACAGGACTCATGCGTAAATGCCTTACTCAGATTGACTATATCTTCAAAGCAAACCTTCATATTATAATTGCGACTAAGTAGGACTGTTAAGTTTCAAATGTCCAAGATGGTTTTTCACAGACTGTCTCATCACTCATATTAAAGCCCAACAAAAAGGTTACTGTAGATAAATAAACAAGTTTTTGCCCCCTTGATGGCTTTAAAAATGTAATCAAAGTGTTAATTAATCTCCATGACTGATCATATACTTCCAGGTCCCTCACGAAGAAATACCTTTACATGGTGTAGGTAGCGTGGGAATACCGAGATAAACTTTTTCAATATTAAATCCTACCCCTGCCCTGCTAATAGTTCTAATCGCCATGGCTAACCGTTCTCGTATACCTTTATCATCTCGCACCGCTAATGCTAATGATTCTAACTCATAAAATGTTAATCCTGGCATCTTGAAACCCCGCTCTAAACTATATGTTGGAGCTTTTAATGTTTGTACTTCTTACTAAATAGGACAACAGGTTCCCCTAGCTAGGACTCTAGGATCTCTCTCCATTATTGTATTCTGTGTCTCCGAAATGTGGATATAGGGTCCGAGCATAGTCATCCATTTGACGTCAACTTGTCGAGATAAAGAACCACTGTGTAACTGGAAGCCCCTCTGCTGCCTCTCACGGCCTCTGGTGTAGGTATAGCATTGTGACCCATAAGTGGAACGGGACGGGACCATGTTAGTAGATGTAGACCACCTGGTTGGGGTCCGCAAGACAAAGACCTTGAATGGCACGGCTCAAAATCATTTGGATTGGCGTCGGTGCACCCACTCTTTGTCTCCCCTCAAATTCTAACTTGAATTCCTCATAACCTCTATTTTTAAATTTATTTCACTGAACAATATCTTCGAACCCTAATCTTTTTTATTACTGCTAATACGTCTACTACATCTAGCACTATGGAATTCGAATTGACAATCGCATTTCTGTGTTAATGCGGTATGGCAACCTGAACTGATGTACGTATGTACGAAGTTCTACGTTGTTGCTGAATAATTGACTGATGTGCTCAAAGGTTCGGGTATATATATATATTACAAACCTTGCCGGTACGGGAAATCGGCATTTCACTAGGGGTTTCCCAGTAAAAAAAGCAATTGCAGACGATAGAAATCAGGAATTTAATGCATAACAAGCCATATAACCCCTTTTGAATTTCATCAAATATTTGACTCATTTCCTGAGTGCTTTCTCACTAACCATATTTTGTATTTATATCCGGTTAGTCTTATTCCAAATAAACTATAAAACATCAAAGCCAAATACTGTTCTTCATGTATTTTATTAGTTCCAGATCGTTGTATTTGAAGCTTAAGTTACTAGCTATCCGTTAATGCAGTTATCCATAATCTTTTAAAATTCAGAGTTATTTCGTAATAAATCAAAACGTATATTTTGTGCTTGTGCTTAAATTTCTTGTGTGATCCTTAAATCTCATTTAATAGGATGATATCGAAGTAGTATGTTCAAAGCTTTTAAAAGTTCGTGGCGTAGTTAGTATTACATTTCAACTGCATAAGCATCGTGTCCTTGTTTGTACAGTACCTTCGTTAGATCCTGAGTGCCTTATACATGCAGTATCTTCAGTTCAAAACAACTCAAGTCAGTTAGATGGAGCGTGTCAGGGAAATTTAACACACTCTAAAATCACAGCGCAGATTGTCAAGAAAAAACGTAGAGTGTAAGTGAGATTTTTATTTCTAATTTGAGTAACTAGTTATTTTAATATCCACTACGTTTGTCAAATGGAATAGATTTTTATTGCAATGGACCAATGATATCACTTAGCTACACAGACCACAATAAGTATGTACAACTGTAAGCTGTCTCTATAGAAATAAGAATTTACAATGTCCTTTATTCATAGATGGTGTTTTATCCCCTTTAAACATGTCATGTTAACAATGACTTGGTTTTCCTTGTGCTTTCATATGCTCTTATAAGCATTTGATCGCTGAATTTCGTGAAAGGGTTTTTTCCTAAGTTCAGTAGATTAACGATCAATCTGACTTATTTTTTGTACGTTAATGAACTATTCTTAAGTAACATATTGAATATCACGGGAACACTGATATTAGACATCAATACAATTATTAAAGCCTAAAAGCTTCAGTGATGTAGCTTCGTCACTAGTATAGTAGACTTACTGTTGTTTAAGAGAGAGCATACTATTCTTATATTTTACAATAACATGGCATTTGATAGGGTAGTACAATGTCACAGACTGCGCAAAACAAAGATAAAATACCAATGATTCCCATTGTAAATATTAGAACAACATAATAAGTAGATAAACAGCCACTTTAGAAAAACAGCAAGCTAATCATATCAGATACTATAAAACTGTCAATGGTCTGAGAATTCTGAAGAAATCTATATTTTCGAATAACTATGCAAAATTGAAAAAAATCAGAATAATAGTAGTATCAGTGGTAGTAAGCACCTGCTGCTCCGGTGTAATGTAGAAATCTGTACTATTAAAGTATCTGACAACGAACTCATAGCATGTTACTCAAAGTATTGAATACACTTAATACCAGGTTATCTTTAATACACTTCCGTTTAATGTTTGTTTTTCTTCAATACGTACGTAAGTTATGTCAAGAAAACGTACCTCAAACTACGATCTTACATCGCATTTTTCGCAACACTCAATATCCTATTGTATGTTTTACTCATTGATTCTAGGCAATCTTTATGCAGACACAGTTCGTTTAGTAGTTTAAAATATCAGCAAAGCTTGCAGAATACTGAAACCCCACCCTATTTAGAAGATGATGCTGATCTCTTTGAGGTTGATGAAACAAGAGCTGCCCCAAGATTAAGGAATGCTCCAAGCAATTCAGATTCTTCTAAGGGTCCTATCAGTTGGCTATCAGATTTTCTGGAGAAATCACTCTTTTGGTGAATTTAGTAGAACATTCCCTCTCTGTTTAATAGGTTTTACATTTATCTGTAAGATAGAAACTATATTTAGAAATAAAAACATGTATATACCTTAATAAATTCGTGATACGTTAATTGTCTTTTGATTTCATGAACATGTCAAGATTCTAATCCAACTCTTGATAACCATAGTCTGTGGTAGTAATTAACAACTAAATATTTATATATGGTGTATATTTCTAGGAATTTTTTACAATTCATCGGATACACTATTTATGTACTTGGCTTTGAGCTACATTAAGGATTGATGATAAGCCTTGAATTTTCGCTATCTAAATTTAAAAGCCAAAGAGCAATTTAATTAAGATATTAGGTTAATTTACTGTTAGTGACTGATGATTCAAGATCCATAACTTGGTTTAGCGGAACAACGGGAAACAGTTGTTAGAGACTGAATGATACCTGATAAGTGGGGTAAAGTGAGCATATATAAAGGTCATAGGAAGAGAAAGTTCCACACTTGACAATAAATCCGTTCGTTTATGGTGAGCAGTGCTGAGGCTAGACATTAGTAATTTATTCAGTGAGACAGTGGAGCTCTATCGACGCAAGTGGTTGAGGTATATGCTACGAATCTGCAACCACTACCTACTCTAACGCCATGTTAGCTAGCAAGGAGTAAGTTGTAAGATGACCAAATTAGGAAAGATAAGTTCTTAAAATCATAAACTGCTAGTCCGAATAGTATTGAGAAGTTTAGACTTTCTGCTTGGGTTTTATCTAATTGCAACCTATGGTTTGTGACTTGAGGTCATAATGCTACAGCTCAAATGCATTCATGTTACTAATCTTCCTGTACTTCCCAATTGTTCTTTTCGAATTATCTTCAGCTTTGTAATGTTTTTAACAGCACTCTAGATCACCTTTCGACTACGTTTGATGTTAACCTTGTTAGTAAATTTACTCACTATGCTATTCTCAGATGCGTCAACTTGAACTAGTAAACATTTACCATTAAGTTGTATGTTACTTAAAACTAACTATATGAAATATAATAATTAAATGGTTTTTTACACATATGAATAAAATAAAACGAGTTTCAAAGTTGAATTTATTAGACAGAGAAATAATTCACTATGTAAACTGATAACAAACTCATAAATAATGATTAGCTACAAAGGTTATAAATCCGAACGGACTTTATATCCGGGACCTTTAGGTACTGTATTTAGTGATGTCAAACCACCTTTCGGCTCTGATGCAAAGCGTCCACCTTGTCCACTTCTAAAATGTAAGTACAAGTTTAGAAATCGAAGTACCCATTCAATTTTGTATAGGTCATGATTTATTTATAAACATGATAGTCAGGTTAATCAGCGAATATTTAGATGATCATATACATTTTACGATCCTGGACCTAACAAGTACGTTATGTATAGAAACAGACTTATATAAATGCATTCGGAAAGGGTTGTCGACTACTTTTTGTTTGATTTTAGTAAATGGTCGATAAAGAAAAAACAGCACAATAATTCGAATCATACAGGAACCAAGCGGATATAGAGTTGAAAAATAATGATAAGTAACAAAATCAAAATAGCGTGGTAGAGGTGGTTTAGAGCTCTTACGGTGTTAAATGTTTCTCAAAGATGCTTCAGTACCTAGATCATCGCACGCGGGTGATAAAAGAGTTCTTATTGATTAGTGAAGTAACAACTTATGTTGTGTTCCAGTTGTCAATCGGTCAACAAGTTAGTTCATGCTCCGAATTCATCAATTTACTTATATAAATAAAGCTGTTTTAACGGTTTCTGATCGATAAACACACCTCGTAGATTTGCCTAAACTACATGATAAAATTTGAGTAAGAACTTAGTTGAGCTTGATTGTACTTTAAGAACATGTTTACAATCAATCAATCAATAGCACCGTAGAACTTCGTACGTACGTACATCAGTTCATGTTGCCGTACCACATTAGCACAGAAACGAAATTGTCAATTCAAATCCAATAGTAGTAGAGGTAGTAAAGGTATTAGCAGTAGTCGGAGACGTTAGGATTAGAAGATATTATTCAAGAAGTAGAATCTAGTGAAATAGACTTAAAAAGATAAGGTGATGAAGAATTTAAAAGTTTAGGATTTGAGAGTACACAAAGAATGAATGCACCTACGCCATTGCAAACGGTTTTAAGCCATGTCATTCAGGGTTTCTAACCATCGATTATTATCATCTCGCGGACCCCAACCAGGTAGTCAACACCTACGAACATGACTCAGTCCACTTGTCAATGACTTCATGCATTTCTGCCATGCTTTGTTCTGGCCGCCCCTAGCTTTCGTCCAATCTATTCCTGCACCGCAAAATATAGCTCGACGAGGCAGTCAGTGGTTAGGCATACGCAACAATTATCCCAAACACCTCAACTGAAGTTTCACTACTTCATCTATTGATCTACCATTTACCTAGCACCCGTTTCCTCATAACAGCATTGCTCACTCTGTTGTCCCACGAGCAATGCTTTGAAGACACGTATGATCGAAAACCAGTGACCTAAGATTATCTTCTACTCTGACTGGTCATGTTTCACAGCCATAAACTAGGACGGAGCGATTTACCGAGCAGTACACTCGTCCTTTGGTCAGCAAATGGATATCTCGCCTTCGCCATAAGTGACACAAGTTGGCAAAAGCCAATCGAGCCTTCTGTATCCGTGCTGAGATTTCGTCGGTCACCAAGCCATCAGCACTGATGAGACTCCCTAGATAAGTGAAACGGTCTACACGCTCGACTACTTCACCCGCTACCACTAGTTCAGGTGCCGATGCAACCCAGTCTTGAATTGACATTTTGCATTTCGAGGGGGAAAACAGCATCCCGAACATGCTTGCATTGTTGCTTAGGGTGGTCAGAAGACTGCGTTTTCTCAGCGTCTTCACCAAATAGAATTATCTCATCGGCATATCATAAGTAAGCAAGCGATTTTCCTGGAAGGTCTACTCCTGGAAATTCAGACGAGGATGAGGTTATATCTAGCAGCATGTCTATGACAAAATTAAACAAGAATGGAGAGAGTGGACATCCCTGACGGACACGACTTGAAGTAAAGAATTCCGGTGACAGTTGGCCATAAGCTCTCACTCAACCAGTGGTGTTCGAGTAGAGAGCTTCTATGAGGTCAATGTACATCTTTGGTACACCTTTCAATGACAGACACTACCACAGGACCTCACGATCCACTGAGTCAAATGCCGCTTTTAGGTCCAGGAACACGGCTATTGTCGGATGTCTAAATGTGTGTCTGTGTTCCAGGACCTGTCGTAGTGTGAAGATGCGGTCTATACAGCCACGCCCAGGTATGAAACCAGCCTGGTTTTCTCGAGTCTGCTCTTCACGAGCTCAAGTTAGACGTTTAAGTATAATGGAGGCTAACAATTTAGAAACCATATTAGTTAGACTTATTCCTCTGTGATTGTCACAAGAGGACTTTTGTCCTTTCTTGTAGATTGGGACAATTAGCAACTGAGACCAGTCAGATGTGATTACGTCCAGTTCCCAGATTCTACCTAAGATCTCAGTCAACCTAGCTGCTAAAACTGGACTGCCATCCTTAAAAATTTCAGTGGTCAGTCTATCAGGACCTGCATCTCGGCCTCGCTTCAGATTTTCTATAGCTTTCTCAACTTCATAAAGACTAGGAGGACTTACATCGATTTGCCATTCAAGGTGACTGGAGATCGTGGGTAACCAAAGTGTGGCTGAACGCCAGTTGAACTGATCCCTAAAGTGTTCTGCCCATCAGTCCAGTGTCCTGGATTGAGAATGGATAATAAGACCATCCTTTTCTATCGCTTTCGCTACCCACCACTGTACTTGATCATTGCGTAGGCTTTTTATCAGCCTGCGCCTAAGCTGACTCAGCTTCTCATCAAGGAAACTGGCATTAGGAACCCGAATATGAGTGAGACTATTTCGGAATAGGATGGTCTGATTCTCCATTACCTAGGGCATGATCTGAATTTAAACATGTGACCCATAATGAGCGACAGTCCTCTTTCGAACCTCCCCATCGGTGACTGATAGCGATGTGATCTAGCTTGGCCCAACGTTGAGACGATTTTGGAGGTCGCCAGGTCAAAAGATGCTTTTCCTTATGCCTAAAGTTAGTGTTTGCTAGGAATAGACAGTTATCTGAGCACAGTTGCAACAGACGGTCACGATTGTCTGTTATCTGAGCCACGACACCATACCATCCACCCAGGTGTCCCTATCTTTCCGAATCCTTACTGTCCCGTTCAGTCGGACAGCGCATAAGCGACTATCTACAGGGATCTAGTCTAGGAGAGTTAGTTCTGCCCTACGACTCAATACTATACCTACACCAGCGAGACCCCGAGAAGCAGCATCATGGCTACCGGATACACGAAGAGTAAACCGAGCTGCTTCTTTATTTTGATAGGGTGAAATCAAATAAATGATTTTACTAGGATCCTGTATGCGCGTTTCCGAGACGCAGCACACATCGATGGCGCAAGATTCTAAAGTCTTAGCTAATGAAGCCTGTTGCCCTATTTGACATAATTTCCGTACATTAAACGCTCCAACATGTAGTTTAGAACGGGGTTTAAGGAAACCAGGAACGAGGCTACGTGAACTCGCATCGTTTGCATTAGCGGTGCAGTGAGCTGAAGGAATGCGACTAGAGTTAGTCGTAGAGATAAGAGAGATATTAGGCGGTGTAAGAAATATTTGATTTTGACCAATTTGGTCTCGCGTGCTGTTACGAGTATGAGGGCAGTTGTCACCTCCCGGATGCCCACACCGTGGAAGGATGTTTCTTGAGGGACCTGAAAAAGAAGGTAGATTAGAGACCTGGGAGCGTGACCGCAGAGAACAAGGGACAACTGCTTGAGGCCGGTCACGCACAGCCTTTCTATGAAACGTTTGTGGAGTACTAGCTCCGTTCTTTTTAAAGCCCTTAGTGGGCACCCTTGAGAAGACTGAGGCAGGCTCGATAGATTGTATTTGGCAAATTTACACTCTTAGTCAATTAAAAACGAAAACATTACATTGAACACTCTATTTGCACACCATCTTTGAGTCCTGACTTCCAACGCTCCAGCCTTCTTCCATTCCTGCTGTTGCTTCCTTTACTTCCTGTCGGTGCTCTATTTATTTCTTGCTTTTGCTCTATTTGCTTTCCGTTTTCCTCTTCTGACCGTGCGACTTCTTCTTTCACGTCCCTTCTTATACTACTTATATCGTTCGTATAAGTAGCACACACCACACCCTTACTGCCGGAGACGGAAATCCGTAAGGTAGGGTGATGTGCGACACTTTTAGGGTCGACCTTCTCTAACCCCTTCCTTCTTCGGGAGAAGGCAGCATCTCTGTAGATGCTGGTTGTCCGAGAGAAACACCTAACTGCCGTCAAACCTCTCTACAATCAACAGTATGACTTTGCCCTCAGACCTTGAGTAGCTGCTTTTAGTTTCATCGTTCTCCAATCGAGCTGCCTGGCATGGTAGAACCTTCAGGGACATATGTTCCAGCCAATAAAGCTCGGTTGGATCATCACGATAGGTAAGCCCGACCACCACGTCAAGGTAGCAGCTATGGTCGGGAAAAACATGTTTACAGTTAGTGTTGAACATAATCACAGGAATTATTTGTATATCATTGTCTCAGGAATGCAAAATCATATTTTGAATAGAGTATTTCATGAATTACAGAGATTGGGGCAATAAAACACAATAGAAAACGGATTTGCAATAAAAACAATGTATAAATTGTCCAAGTTCAATGCAGATTGTCTACAGGATCTACCTGCAACTTCACTTCATAAAAGTTCATGATTGCTTCGACGTGCACTGTTACAAACGTTGTTACTCAGAGGGTGAATATAGCCATGAACGAGGTACAGGAAATCATCTTACTGACTCAGCCCAACAAACATCATCTACTATCATCTTACGAACTAATCAGCCACGTATGTATAAAGTGCGATCTTTCCATTACTACACCGGCCCTAATTTTTAGATACATTTATCCATGGGATCTACTTTCCTCTATGTGTTGTACCTCTGTCAACTTAGTTTTCGGTTTAGAATATTTAGATAGTCTCTAATGTTAAACAACTATCAAGGTGATTGCTTTCCGTTCGCAATGAGCATCTAAATGCAGCAGTAGCCAAAACACTTAACTCTAAACCAACCTTAGGCCCATGTTGCATTTCATCCACTTCGTTTTTTAGCAACCGGGTAGTATAACTGGCTTTAAAACAATAAAAGTATACCTCGAATTCGAGTGTACAAACCTACGCATTAATTTAAGCTGGATACCTATCTAACTAGCTCGATTATGTGTTATCTTATCTTGAGAGGCAAGATCAAATCTTATATGGGCATCGCATTCTATTTGACACTTAGATGCCATGACATCTGCAAAAGAAGTCAGCAGTACTCAGAACAAGAATGACAATTAAATAATAAACCTTTATACTATACAATTTAAAACTTACTGTGGACCAGGTTTTGGCTTTTTCCCAGCTTTTATTTCTTCAACAATACGAACTGTATCTTCTTCTGTTAGGTCCTCCTACAAGTTAGTGTATGGGAAAAAGTGAATTACAATTGGAAGTCAATTTCAAAAGACTTTGACACGATACAAAAACGAGGATTATCTCATAAATTAGCTTATTGACTTTGCCAATCAGAAGCAAGTGTTGAAATCTCCACAATTATATGAACCTTCTGTTCGCATTAATAATAAAAGTCTTAACAATAAAAAGCTAGTACAACAGTAAAATCGACGCAGCATTTCAGTTGTCAAGCGTATAACTACGTGTTTATCATTTATTAAATATTTGGAGTTATTTTGACTAGTTTCCTTCTTCGTTGACTTCTTTTTTTGTGTTGTGGAATATGATATTTCGAGCTTTCTGCTCATCGAACCGATTGCAGTGTATCAACACTTTGAACTCCTTGATTCGATGTCCTAACATAAATGTCAGTGAATGTTGTGAGTGAAGGATAGGAGCACAATGAAATAGCGATTATCTGCGGAATCACGACTTAATAACTTCAGCATTGCTAAAAATCTTCAACTCCCAATTTTTTGAAGTGAGGAAACAAAACAAACAATTCACACTTTTAGAATAATAACAGGGTTTCTTTTTCAACAATTTTATTTGGCATTTGATAACAAACATATCTGGACAATATAGACTATTGAGTTACAGTTAATTGAGACTCGCTTACTGATGAGTAACTTTTACTACAGCAACAGACATTGTTTGAGAACTAAAGTCTTCTTTCTGAGTTTTGTAAATACCTCCTCAGTACTTCGACTGATTTAACCTAAGCAACCAAATTATTAAACTAGTTAACTGTGTTAAGCTATCTATGCAAAATGACAATATATAAAGTCACAAAGTTTACATGATCCACAGTTTGAAATGAAAACAAAATAAAACTCCATACATTAAAAACGGATACTTTTCTACAATAGTTTCATTTGTAAACCAAAAGGCTTACACCACAAAGTGGTCTGCTCAACACTAGTGCTAATCAAGCTACCTGTTTGATCACCCAAACTGATTGATATAAGTTATTTAAATTAGTGTTTTAAATATTCCGTTATCTAAATACTTGGTTGCTGAAACCTAGTGAGGTTTCACAGATAAATTACATTCAGGTATTTTTTTTCTTGACTAGAACTACAAACGTTGGACCATATACCTTGAAAAAAATCCGAAAACCTACATAATAATCATCATTAATCTGCATCATGGGTGCATTTACACAAGCCCCAAGGCACTCCACTTCTGTCAAAGTAAACATTTTATCAGGTGTAGTCTGGCCCGATTCAATACCTACAAAATGAGGAAGATAATTATTAGTTTCCGTGTACAAAAACAGATTATCTCTCTTTTCTCAAATTTATTTCACTGAATTATACTTCCTGAATAATATCTCCGTGCCCTAATTTTCTCCATTACCGCTAATACTCCTACTACATCTACCACCATGGATTTCGAATCGACAACTGCATCTCTGTGCTAATGTGTTATGGCAACTTGAACAGATGTAAGTACGTACAAAGTTCTACGTTGTAGCTGACTGATTGACAAGTACAGACCACAAGCAAGTATTTTAGATTATTGTTCGCAAGCTGCTCGGGTTTCCTGAGAAACTAACAACCTTGATATTTCTGATTTATAAAATAAGTTTTTTAAGAATAGGTTAATTAAAAATTATTTTTTGCCATCTGTATTTCAATTCACGGTACGATTCCGTTAGAAATTTTTAAGTGGACTTAAAGTGTGAAAAACTGAGCACATAACTACGTATATAAGGCAACGGTCAATTAATCCATAACGTCAGTAAATAATCTTAATAGACAGATACTACCGCACCAAATGAACAGTTGATAAGCAGTTATTATTATTCGGATTATCACGCCTTTTTTCTTGATTATAAAAAACAGGCATCCTGAAAGCGAGGTGATTTATCGAGAAGTGGACAACAGTCTTACGTACATAGTAAGTGCCTATGTTGGTAAAAATGATACATTAAAGAAATCACAAGAAAATGATGCAGAATGCAATGATGACATACCAAGTGTCTTTTTGAGAGTGTTTAAAATAACTTCCGACCCTACACCCCCTAGCATACATGGGGTTGTAGTACATATCTGAATGTGATACTTCCCAACTGGTTCCCTGAAAATAAGGAAGAAAACAAATTAATCAACGCATTTTATACTGCATTAATTAGTGTGTAACATTTCTAGTTTAACTTCATGTCAATTTGTTGCGATAAACCCGGCACCTATTCGCATCAATTTTGAGTTGCTGCACCAGAAACCAGTACAGAAAGACGAAATTATGATGACAAATGCCATGGTCGTAATTGTATCAGTGGTAGTACTTAGGTATTACACCATTTTACCACAGATATACATGTTGAACAACCGAAAACTTTAATGAAGCCGAGGAGGTGATGGAACATTTAAACATGGAAAAGTTATCTCACTGAATTATACTTCCCGAATCGTATTTTCAAACCCTAGTCTTCTCCATTGCCAGGAATACTTCTACTATATGAACCACTGTGGGATTCGAACTGACGATCGCGTCTCTGTGGTAATGTGGTATGACAACCTGAACCTATGTATTTACGTACGAAGTTCTACGTTGTAACTGACAGGGAATTACGGGCACAAACCAAACCATAAGAATAGGTTCTAAAGTGTGAATTAAAATTTACTGAAAAAGTGTAGGTGTGGCTGATATATTGAATATCGGGTTGAACGTTCTTACATATTACCTTTAGTCTCAAGAAATATGAAGACTGGGGTGTAATTACATGCACTTATTATAGATGCAGTGAGCAAGCGGTAAACTGTGTACACAGAAATGTATATACAAAATAATACAGGTTATGATGTGGGTAGTATTCCAATATTGCATATGGAAGTACTAAATTAAATCCAAAAAGCCATGAGTTGAGCTCATAGCAATACCAAAGATTATTTCTAAACAGAAAGCCTAGTGTTCTGAGAAAAGCACATTCACCCGAATTACAAAACCATAAAGAACTACCAAAAAGACTGGAATTAATGGACCTGTGGCTAGGCTATCACCTTGAACTCTACTGAAGCAAGAAGCAAACCCAAAGAAATCAACCGGTCTGTACTATCTTGTGATAAGGATATAGGATATTTTGGAATTGATTCCGTTGCTAACCTGTTGAACATAGTATAGAATGTGGCTACTTCGTAAACCCTCATTGATGGGACATTGAGAATTTCTGCAACTTTGTTCATGGCGGATATTGGCAACCATCCTGAATAAAGTTGTTATTAAAAATGATGGATTATACAAACCATGTTGTCGTTGAGCTAAATCCAAAGCAGGAATTATGGCAGCAGCCTTGTGAGCAGGTGGATAGTTTGATATTATGACATCCAGTCTTTTTCTATTTTCTGCGGAAAATTCGAAAGCTGTATTAGAATTATTTTCAGGTGTTTCTCTGTGCTGAAGTCGTGACATTAAAGAAGGAAGTACAACTCACAACAAAGAGATGTGATGACTGACGTTGAGAATGTCGAAAAAAATTTCCATCTGGTCTACGCAATAACTGTGGAAACAATAATTTAGAATATTACCACGAATAACCTTGGAAGGTGAAACACCAAATACGCGTAAGGCCATCCTCTGACCTTGAAAATGTTAGGAGGTAGCGTACCTGTTTGATGCCATTTAAACGATAGATCTGTTAAAGCCGAGTTTGTTCTCGCAAGCTTTCACTGGTGTGGTTAAATACAACTAGCTCTAAATTAAAGGGCTTATCGCCTACCTTTTGGCTAAGAAATGGGGATGACATATGGTGGCCAATTTTGTAGTGTGCCGATTCGGCCGTGTTCTTACGTTTCGTAACAAGCTCGTTCAGATTGTCTTATCCAAATGACGTCTGACGGTTAATAAATCAGAAGATGAACTCCAAGTATCGTATACGTTTATTCGAGGCACACCACATAGCGAATTGAAGAAGCGAATAGGAGAAGGCTAGTGAGCCAACTCAAAGAGATAGAGTATGACTAAGAATATATAGTCAGATAAGAATAAGACAGACATATGACAAGCGAAATAGGTATGCACACACATGAATAAAAGCGACGAATGATTGACAAGGTCAAATGACAAGCGATACAAATCATGTGAGTTCATGGGAATATTACGAGATTAACACTAAAGCGAAAAGGATGAGTAAGTGCGTAAGCGTAAGCAATGCTCAGTCGTATAAGCTCATACAAAGCAGATAATAAAAAATACCAATGGTACATATGAGTTGTTGTTTTACAAATGGCTTGGTTAAATAAATTAATCGAAAGGGCTTAACCAAGTTAGATGTGAGAGAACTGAAATATATGTGGAGGCACTACAGACAATCTGAGGTTAGTTATGAACCTAATTTACAAATTATTTTTCATTTTTTCATGATTGGGCCTCATTTGTACTGTCATGATTATTGACTGTAAAACTTTTTGCAGACATTTAGCCTTCACCTTTGTTCTCTTTATCGTTCTGAACTGGTGTGTATTATCGGTTACCGCTCTCAAATATACTGCTGCTCAAACGGTACTCGTTCTCATTTGAACAACTGACAAGCGAATAGATCTCTAATATGACTGTCATCTACGTTCACAAATCAGATCTATCTTCTCATTCGATTGTCCTCTGAATATAGTATTTTAGATTATATATGTATATATTCCTTTCTTTGTTATACGTTCCTTTTTAAAATAACTTTACCACCGTTCAGAATCGAACCGATATCTACCAAAGCAAATGCCGTTTCTGAGTTCATATTCACTTCATACGAGCTAAACAGCCCACCAGTCTGGTTTCCCAGATAATACGTGGTGTATGATCCGAGACAACCAGATACGCCAACCTAATAGGTGCATTACCATTTGACGTTGCTGTTGAAGTCAGCGATTTCATAAACAAAGTACCTGAAGACGCACCATACAAACTCGAAGCTACGTTACAGAAGAGACTACAACAATTATTGACACATATAACTCGTACAACAGAAAACTATCACTGATCCTGAAATATATGGACCAATTATTTGATTAACATATTTAGATGACAAAATATTAGAGAGCCTGTGGTCACTACGATTGTCATATTATGTACGGCGGATTCCTAGCGTCCCAGAGTGATCAGCCGCACTTAATGATAATAATCAATAGCAGAACTGGAGAACATCATGAGTAACAGTGTCAAACATTAGCTCAGATACGGCAGTCTATCCAGACTTCTGAACAGCTGAGCACGAGGGAATTAGATGCACCCCAACAACAGCGGTCTTTTTAATATTAAGTACATTTACAGTACATTAAAATGTCCTTGAATTAAGTGCATCGAATTTATTAGAACTTTGTCAGATTATTACAAACTGATAGTATCTAAATAACAACACACTTTTTTAATGCTATTGCTATTTAATTGCATTCGGATACATTTGACTTAATCCTTTTAATGTTTATAAACACTAGGTATTTTTGTTTACATGTCTCAGTCAGCAGTTTTGGGAACATCTGTTCCGCGTGAGGCATGCAAGTTCATAGAAAGGACTAAATAGTTAGAATTTCCACGATCTTCACTACGATAGGCTGCTCACTTAAGTTAATATTAATATTCTTTTTCTGACACTGAAGGTTTACTTCATTACACCGACAAACAGTTAGATATAGCGAAATTTTAGACAAGTGACCATACAAAAGAGTAACTATTTATTTTCAAACAACAATGTGTTACATAAGGTATGTCAATTTACATGCAGGATCAAACTGTTACAAATGCTACCACATCCAACGTAAAAGGTTGCACAGCTAGATTAATTATAAGAGTCTGTTTCTGACTGCAGAGTTCTTCATTGATGTACATCATTCAGGAGTGATCCACAAGACGCGATTTTTGGGAGATTTACTTGCAGAGTATTTGTGTAATGTAATAGGTTAGTAATTTCCTATTTATTAGAAATGGTGGATTGGAAGGAGACTGATACAAGCTGTAACCTCGAAGGACTCGTAAGGTGTTTCGCGTATAGGAAGAAGCTCCATATCTATTCACTGCTGATAAGGTTCTGGGAAGAAACGAAAGAGAATATAGAAGGAACAAGGCAAATGGATATTTCATCATTGCATTTCAACCGTTCATAGTAGTGTAGACAAATCAACTGTAAGTCAGTAGATAAAATTTATGCTGGCTGCTAAAATTAAAATAAATTGTGATAATAGAGGCTTCGAACTAGGGAAAGTAATGCAGAACAGGACAGTAAGTTATGAAGTCCGAACAATAGAAATTGAATTAAGAGGCTTTATGTCTAGATATAAAAGCCAAGGGTTCAGCTAGAAAGGTTTTTGAAAATTATTGCATTGTTCATTGTCCATCTTTTCTCATCAAATGCCAAACTCCAAGTCTTACTGTAAGCTCATTAGCAAGTTTGTTGCAGGTTTTTTGACCTGTCAGCAAGATAAGTTAACGCGTAGTGTGGAACCACTGCAAACGATTTATTTATAAACGCATGCTATTTATCTGACGTGCGTATTCTTAAAAGTTGTTACATATCGGGACTTACGTAGTTAGGAGTTAATTTTTTTGAGGCTCTGTCTAGTATTTCTTAAGTTTGACTGTAGATAATTTACCATTAATGTCTTAAGCACCTGGGACTGGGGTAAGGACCAAATTACGGAGGAAATATGCTAGTACGTGCAAGAGCTTAGAGTGAAGAATGAACTGGGAATCAAGCCTTCTATTACTGAGTGGTTCCTCAAACTTCAGTATATCAGATAGGCATATAGTGGAAAACAAGAGCTAGTGGTATTCAGTCACAGGTCTTACATATGTCTTGCGAAGAAAAATTCTGGATTCTTTAGGGAGGAAGTTACGAAATGTGAAAAGGCAACTTCCCCTTTCGAGATACTTCGGTGGAAATATGTTCAGAAACGTTTAGGCTGTGCTAGCTGTGCGCTTCAAAGTCAGTTAGTGATACAAGTTTAAACAAGGCAATCTTTATGAATGTGAGATTTATTTAGGCAAGCGCGTTGCCAAACTACAGCCCGCCACATTTCTCAGTTCCAACGCTCACACGGTTTATCTACATTATTGAGTTCATCCTGGATCGTTTGCGCCAAACTTCCCATGAGTGCTATAGATCCTTTACTGATCATGAGTGTGGAGGTGTGTTTTTCTCAGTGTAAAAGCAGCATATGCCGCTGATGTAGATTCCGAAAACCAGTGGACTCAAGACAGTACCTCTCATAACACCACTGGTTAATGGTGGAGGTTTAGATGTTGTGGAATTATTTTTAGTAGTTTGGTATCCGTGAGTGAGAAAATTTTTATTCGATTGCAACACGGATTCAGTAATCTCCATCGATTGAAGTCTGTTTAGTGAGAGAATATGAGGCGCTTTGACACGAGCTTTCTTGATTTCAATAAGGAAAAGGATCACAAGCTGCTGTCGGCTGAGTATGTTGGTAAATTTATCAAATAAATCTATCATAAATTCAGTGCATGACCTCCCTATTTGGAAGATCAGACAATTGGTCGTTTATCAATTTCTCCATTACCTATCAGATAACAGAGATGATATTGGCTCTACTTTAGTTCTGGATTAGGTTCTCTTGTCCTCGATGGTGTTTAGGATTAACATATGTAGGATTTCAGGTTTCGGATTACGTACTAGGTAACGTATGCGTTTTGAGTAATAGTGTCAGTATATCTGGTCCTGCCCTTTTGAGAACTATCGACGGTATGTCATCCTTATCAGAGTTAAAGGATCTGTACTCATTGTGGAAGAACCATGTAACAGGATGATAGATTACATTTCGGTCATAATACGCCTCTTCATCATGCAGTATAGATCGAATGTTATAGTCTGCTTTCTTTCTTATGAGTTTTCAAGCAAACGGCAGCGGTTTCGGAAATGATATTTGGAAGCGAACGCATTACGTTCCTTAACTAATCTGAGTCCTTTGTGCTGTTATTTTTTCACAGCCCCAATTACTGAGTACATGTAAAGTAGGATGAATAAATTTTCTGGTATATAAAATGTCCTTTCCCGTTTACGTGGCTTAGCCCCAATGTTTCAATTGATTTAGGTGGTCATTGTTTCGAAAGCCATTCTGAAGGGAATAATAGTGTCAAGTGAAGATTTAATGCCGACATTAAATATATGTATTACTTCAAAAGATTCATCAGTAGTAAAAAACATAATTGAGCATGAGTTCTCAACTAGAAATCGGAAGCATTTTCAGTTTATGTGTTCATAATCTCTACGCTGAAGATGTGTATTGTGTTAGATTTTGTGCATCTTGCACGAAATAGTAGAACGCAGAGTACTAATTTATGATCACTGTTGTGAAACTTTTAGCCGAAAAACAAAGATGTTAGTGTGACAGAGTGACAAGAAATGCAGTCCACAATAATGTGATTTCTTGTAGACATATGCTCCTGTCAGCCACATATGTCTAGGGAAATAAGTCCGTTTTCGAATTACAGTGGACAGGAGTGTGTCTGAATGTTCATTTCTGACAACACTACCAAATCAAGAGGTTCCTGACGAGTGGCTCACTAATGGTAGTGCAAGTGATCGATGAGTGTTTGGAGTGTGACATATGCATCCAATGAGCATTTCGCATTCAAGGGCGTTCACATTACGCTATTGCGAATCAGGCATTTT